CACCGCCCCCCGGCGCGCCCCACCCGCTGGGCCGGGACCCGGGCATCGGCTGGAAGGAACTGAGCGGGATTAGCACGACGGCCGCACCTTCACTCTCTCGCCCTTTCCACCCTGACCTCTCCCCGTGACCTTGGAGGCCTCGCCGGCCTCCCGGCACCTCGGTCCGTTCGGGCTGGTTCCCCAGAGCCGTAGTCCTGGGGGCGGGCGGGCTTTTTTCACAGTCCGGGAACCCGGGCTTGGCGGAGGTGAGCGACAATTCAGTTCGAGTTGGGAAGGAGATGACTAGAGACGCTCAACCCCAAGTTCTCCCTCGGTTTTCCCTGGCTGGCCAGGCCAGAACCCCAGAGCTGGCCTGGGTGGGTTCTGCATGGAGAGGGAAACATCATCTTGTCCACCGGCCATGTGCTAAAAGGAGGGAGTGGGAAGCGGCTCCTGGAATCCCAGCAGTTGGGCGGCTGATGGGATGGCGAGGAGGATGGGTGGGGTGGGGCGATGGGTAAAAACCTTACAGCCATCAGGGATGGGGACCAGGAGCCCGGCAGGCCGAGACAAGAACTGGTGCGGAAAGGGCTCTGCAGCTCCCTGGAAGGGCCTCTGGTCTCTGCTGTGTCACGCCAGGGCCGAGAGACCCTTCCTGCCCCGCCCTGGCATGCTCTTGCCCAGGAAGCCAGGGCTGGTTATCCACCCTGACTGGCCTTTCCCCGGGTCCCGAGGAAACCGCAGAGCCCCTGGTGGAGCCTGGTGTTGCTCCTTCCCATTGTGCCTGGGGCTGGTGCAGAATGGCGGCCACAGCACGCCCTGGCTGCGCCCGCACTGCCAGCCCCCACGCTTAGCAACTGGGAGGCCTGCTGCCAGTCCCTGTCCACCAGTGGCTGGCATCTTGAGAACCTCGTCTGGAGCCTGCCTTTTTGGGGATGGGGGCAAGCTAAGAATATACAAGTCTTCACTCTGAGGGGTGGCGAGGGAAGACCTCTGTGCACTAGGGCTCAAGTGTCCTGGGCTGTCCTGGCCTTCAAGGCTTTGGTTTGGGGACCTTAACGCCATCCTGACTTGACTTAATTCAGATTCTCCCGAGTCGTGGGAGGGTGACAGGGCTGCTGGTGTGTGTGAGGGGTCTCTGCTTGGTTCCCTGTGGGCTGACACCAGGTGGGCTGTGACTCCTGTAAAGGTGGACCAGGACAGAACCCCACTTCGTTTCCTTTATAAAGTTTGCGTCTCTTCCATGAGAGAGAGACAGACATCTCAGTGATTCCCCCTACGCTGCAGTCACCCAGTCTCTGCTGCCAGGATTACGGGCATGTGTGCCCCTGGCACACTGGGAGGGGTCCCAGAAAGTTCACCTTTCCTATGTGGATGCAGCTGTGTTACTTCTGTGTAGCCACCTTCTCTTCCAGATCCCCACTTCTGCTAAGGGGTCACCCTGAGCAGGGCTGGGCTGACCCTCAGACCCACTGTTCTGGGTGGGAGGGTAAGCTACGTGACCAGGCTAAAGTCTCGGAGAAAGCACTTGAGGCTTTTTCTAAATGATTTTTTTCTGGGAGAGAGGGCAGTCCTTAAAAGGTAGGATCCTTCTTTGTTCCTCCTTGGGCTGAGATGGGCTGCAGCACTGGAGGTTTGGTCACTGGGGCTACCTGGAGAAGGGCATGTGCTTAGGTTTAGCCGAGGCCTGAAACTAGGGGCCCCAGGGATGGCTTACAGGCCAGCAGTCCTCCGGTAAAGCTCTGGTAAGGTGGGAGTCAACCCCTCCTTTTCCCAGCCTTTCTGAACAGGGGCCAAGAGTTCCTCTGCTGGGGGAGGGCGCTGAGGGGCACTGTGGATTGGTGACTTGAACTAGAACTCGCCTCCTTCCCTTAGATGCCCTTGAGGCAGTCATTTCTGTATGCCTAAAGCCACCGTCCATGAGTCTGGAGTTGCACTGGTGGTTTATCATAGGATCAGCTATTGGAGATTAGCTGGAGCAAGCCTAGAAAACCAAGGTACCCTGCTCTCCCTGGTGACGAGTTCCCAGAGGTGCTAGGTCTGTGGAGAAGGGGGTGTGTTTTCATGGTTCCGAGGGTATGGGCAGGGCTGACTGTCCCAACCTGCCTCCTTTATCCCTGGCTCTCCCTGCTTGTCCACCCTACACATGTTGTGAGCGTTAGGTTCATTTTTAGGACCAGGGCTAGGGGTGCAGGTGAAAAGGCTGCAGGCTAAGCAGTGAGGAAGACCTGCCAAGAAGTGGTGGAGTGTTCAGAGCAAGGAGGTTGAAATAAAGGGATATCAGTGTGGTACCACTGAGGCTAGGGGTTAGCCCTCCCCGACACGGGGGTGGGAGAGTAGTAGGTCGTTAGACCCGTGGGCAAGGAAAGCACGTTCTCCAAAGAGAATAGGACCTGTTTGAAGACAGTGCTGGGTTGTGGAACCATACGGCTTCTTGGCAGAAGAACCAGGAGTTCACTTTGTTTAGCATATTGAGGGCCATATTTTAAAGATCTTGAGGTCATGTAAGGTTAGGGGAAAAGGCATTTTTCTGCCACTTGGGAAGGAAATGTGTTAAAAGCTTTGATACCTTTGAAAGCCAAGGAAGGCTGCAGGGAGTTGAGGGAGCTGACTGTCCTTTTCAGTCTAGAGGCTGTACCCCAGGTGAGTCGAGGCTAGAGCGCCAGGTGAACGCTGCTCAGGGTAGGCTGTGTCCATGTTGCTGAACCCCAGCCCTAAGCACCTCCTTCTGTCTTAATGCTTCTTGGGGGTGACTGGGAAGTTATAGTGTCTAGGGAGGGATGGATGTGGTTTCTATGTGAAAATGGAGGCCTCGGGACCCACCCTGTGTCCAGGCGATTAAAGGAGCTGGATCCCACATGGCTGGCTGACTGTACAGTTTGAATTCTGGCCCCTGCAGCTTGAAAAGCGTGCTGGGCGCTGGTGAGTGTGTGCCGCAAATCCTGACACAGTCCCGACGCCATGGGGAGATGGAAGAGGGGAGGGGGTTGTGACCTGAGCACGCGTTCACCCTCCGTGCCTGGCAGGTGCACATGCCGGCTGACAGTTAAAAAGAAAGGAAGAGTTAAAGGAGTTTCACACCAGCATAGGGAAGCTGCAGAGAGGCAGGATTTATGACAGCTAAGGAGGTGACAGTTTGACCTGAAGGTTTGGCCCCTGGCTGCCCTCCCAGCCCACCCCACTGCAGCTGAGTCAAGGCTGCTCTGCTCCTTGGAGGCCTCTGACACCACGAAGAGGTTAGCACCTCCCGAAGTGTGGGTGAGGAGACCTCTGGGATGAAGAGGCCAGGATTCTGGGGTCCCGTGTGTGACCTGGGCAACTTCCCTCGCCTTTTCTCTGACATCAATGACTTTGGAGAGGCTCTGGGGCACGTAGTGCTCTGTAGGCTTTTTTCCATATGAGCAAAGGGAGGCCTTTGGGCTCTTACTTGAAGCAGAGCCCAGGCAGGTGGATGCAGGCAGGTTCTGGTAGGAGGGGAGGCCTCTCTGCTCCCAGGGGATTGCTCTTGTCCCCTCTCTTCAGACCTGATGGAGAAACCACATCCGCAGCTGTGCAGGGCATTGTTCCAGGCACTGTACTAGTTTAACTCATTTAACCATCACAGCAGAACAGTGGGGTGCATACATTAACATCACCAGAGAGAGGGAAAGTGAGAAAGCAAGCTGCAAGCCACCAAGTCTGGGACTCGAACTGCAGTTGGCCATGTGGGAGTCCAGTGCCCTTAACCACCACACCACCTGCTGGCCCCTATTACTATTCTTTTTTTTTTTTTTGGAGAGGTTTTTGCTATAGGACACGTGTGCTCACCAGACAGACAAAGAGAGAGACAGAGAGAGACAGAGAGACAGAAATTGAAAAATCTCCCCCCAGGGGGATGGCCACGCTGCAATTCCTTCTCCATTCTCCTTTCGGGATCTTGGGCACGCACGCACACGCGCCCAGTGTGAGTTTAAACCACCGGGTCCGGGACTTGAACCATGGTCGACTACATGGGAGTTCAGCAACATAGCCATTATGCTAACTGCTGGTCCCTATTACTATTATTTTTTAAAATTTGACCAGAGAGAGAGAGCAAGGCAAAGTGAGAAGGCAGGCCATTAGGTCAGACTCTAACTGCAGTTGGCCACGTGGTAGTCCGGTGCGTTAACCACCATGCCACCTTGCCGGCCCCATCACCAGTTTTATAAATGAAGCACAGAATGGTTACATGGCTTTATGCAGCCATTATAGAGAGGTTGGGATTTGAACCACACCCTGTACTTGCTCTTCTGTTTATATTAGGGTTTTGGTTAGAATTGGGAGTGGGGGACTGCTTTGTTTTTCTGTCAGTAACAACCATCTACTACACTGAGTAATAAACAGATTGATTTAGTACAAGGAGGTGAGGTTCAAGGATCAGGGGTCCCATATGGTGAGGGTCTTGTGGGTGGGGGCCCTGCTCATCACATGTGAGACAGGGCAAGAGGAATATCTACTCATAAAGCTACCAGGAGTCAGTCATGGGGCCCACCCTCATGACCTCATCCAATCGTAATCTCCTCCCAAAGGCCCACCTTTCAACACCATAATTGGATTAAGTCTCCACCCTCTTGATTCTGTCATAATAGGAACCAAATCTCAACATGCAAATTTGGTGGTGACACGTTCAAACCATAGCAGGGGAGAAAAGGTGTCTGCAACCAAAGTTTTTGGGCACTGAGCTTTGGGGGATGCCAGGGTCCAAAGTAGAAGCCCAGAGAGCAGGTCCAGGCTAGTTTCCTTGGTCTGGTGGCACCCCCAAACTGGATGACAGGAGCT